TTTAGTGTTTTGAAATCAAATTTTTGTCACTCATCCAAAATTTAGTGCCCAATTGACAGTAGCGATAGTTGAAGGGCTCAAGGCCGGTTATGGACCCGCTGATGGCCTAATTTATTCATGCTGTTGGCAATTTTTTTTTGTGTGTGTTAATAATTGTGCATCGGTGCTTGCTGTTTATTTATGTTTTGTTGGTTGAAAGTTTATTTTGATTTGATTTTTCTCATAATCAACTTTGCATTTGGTTTTGAGGCTTCGTGGTGGGATTATTGTGCCGTCTCTCATGGCATTGGCTAGGAAGTACAACCAGGAAAAGATGATCTGCCGCAAGTAAGTTCCCACTTTACTGTTTCTCGTAGAAGAACTAATTAAGCTCTTCTTATATAGACTTACTTCAGTTCTCTAGTTATATTCCTAATTTTTAAACACACTGCACTACTTTGACTTTGTTGGATGCTAGCATCTTCACGTTTGATCTCATATAACTCTTTCGAGACAAAATCTATGTGTTCTTTTATATCAAAGGATTTGGATTTAGAAAAGAGAATGTGGATGAGTACTTTGCCAAATCCCAATGTCATATTGGATTTAGAAAGCCGTCACTCTCTTTATGCGGTTCGCAATTTGTTTCCATGGTGTTGTACCTAAAAGGTTCAGATACTGTAAAAGTGTGATTTCTTATTATCGATGTGATCAAGATTTAAGTTGGTCTGTGTGTCAATTAGGTACTTTCCACTGGACTTGGTAGGACTGTGCCAAACTTGATATCAAGGAAGCATACAAATAGTGCAGCTACAGGTAAAGCTACCAATTCTTTTTGTTACTTGACCACTAAGAAATTTTATGAGAATCGGATTTCCGTATTTTTGTTTTGGCTATAGAATCTTAGATACATGGTCTTGCTTTAATGTCTGATAGCAAATCAAGTTTTGTAATTCTGTTTTTGTTTCTCATACCATATGACTCTTTAATTGTAAACTACTGGATGGCTATACATGTATACATGTGAAATGTATACTTTCACATAGTAGAAATTGAATAGGCAGATGCTATTGTGCACAGATTGGTAGATTGGCAGATTTGTGCACATATTGAAGGATTGGTAGCCTGGCTATATGTCAAATTTTCAATATAAAATGTTGAATTTTAGCCCAAAAGCATAGTATGTCAAATTTTAGTCCAAAATCTCAAAAGTCCAAAACCATTTCGGGATTCCCGATTTGTCCCGAAATCCCGAAACTATTTCGGGATTCCTGAAAATTTGGTTTGGGATCGGTATTGAAATTGGGATTCTCGAAAATTTTGGTTTGGGAATCGAGACAAGGGTTTCGATATGGGATCCCATACCGAACCATCCCCTACTTAATATATGAAACAACTTGCTTTCTGGTATCATGAAGAAAATTGAAATTCCACCATAAACTCAATTTGCAATATGAGGAGTAGCTCTACTTATAAGCACATACAAAATTCATTTTTTTCCCAATGTAAAATTCATACCATCAACATTGTTCTTCGACTCTCATCCATTTTATTATAATTAAAGGTCCTAAATGTAAAGATGTGCTTGAAATTATTTTCCAAAATGAACAACTGACTAGTATCCACATAATTAAAATTATGATTTGGGGTTATGTTCCTTTCCTCCTAACAACTAATAATTTAAGCAAAAACGTTAATTAAAATTATTATTTGGGGTTACGTTCCTTTCCTCATAAAAACTAATAATTTAAGCAACTAATAATTAAAATTATGAGCTATGGACCGTTACTTCTCACTATTGCAGTCACTTTTGGGCTGCTCCTTATGTAGTCCCGTTGTGTTTTGGGCTGTCTTTTAGCTTCATCAGCCCAAAAAGTAATAATAAATGGAAAAAAAAAAAATACAGCTTAACCTTTTAGTAAATTAGAAATAAAATAAACTGAATTTTCTCTAATGAACATCAAAAGTAAAAGTAGAGCTACACATATGAATAAAAGCTATTAGATTCCAATGAAGTTAAATAATTTCACGTTTTTGTTCTAATGTGCAACTTCAATGTGTACTTATGATGTGTACTAAAAAATATGTGAACAATAACTTTTTAATATAAAAATATTTTAAGAACTATTGGAAAAGAAAACCCTCGTTATTTTTACTTATCATATTATAATTGATTCTTCTTGTGAAACTTGTTTAGTGTCGTTTTCTCATTACAAAAAGTAATGTGAACTCTATTGAAGTTTTACATGGTCCCCACTTCTGAAAAGCTGCAGACATCATAGACTTGGGAGAGAACGCTAGAGTTAACTCACTGCCAACTACCGAGTGCGTTAAACTTAAAAAAAATAAAATAAAATAAAAAATAGAAAACTAGCTAACTCACCAGAGAGCTTCTAGAATCAAACAACATCACTACATGAAAAGTCTTCACTGAAAACCTTTAATGAGTAGTAATACTTATCTTCCCCACAAAATTTTGTGTGTAATACAAAAGTTAAAGTAATACTAAGAAGGTCAAATTTCTAAGTTAAATTTTATAAATTAGATGATGTTGATGTTAATGTTGATGATTAGGCTATTACAAGTGTTTAATTAAGGTACTTATTTTTTATTAATGATATTTTATTTAGTTTGTTAATTCATTTTAAAAATTTAGTCTCATAACAATTTTCTTAAAGTCATAGAAAATGATACTTGAGGAGGCAACATGTCTCTTGTCGTCTTGTGGATAGCCAATTATTTAATCAAAAGATTAAAGAATCCAATGTTCGATAGCAAGCTAGATTATTTATATAGAACTTTAACGAAAAGTTCGCGGTACCATTCATTTTAATGAAAAATTATATTTTTAGACTAAAATTTTAATCTTGATACTATTCACTTTAATATTTATTTTGTCCTTATCGTTAAAACTCAAAATTTTCAAACTATAACCATTAGTTTTCCTTTATTTATATTTAATTTGTAACAATAATTTTTCGTTTGTTTGTGTCGAATGGACCCCTGAAATGAACAAGGGAGACCAAGACTTTTCGTTTTGCTTGGATATTTTTTTGTTTTTTTTTTTTTTTTTAAGAAGAACGATTGATGGCAAGTTACGGTTATCTATTTTTTTCAAGAGTCAGAAAGACTCAAATCTCTGGCCACAAGTCTGGATTTCATACTAACAGTAAGTTTTGAACTGAAAACCTCTAATTTTTATTTTAAAGAAAACTTTATGATCCATCATTTACTATTGGGCCATCAGTTTGTAATTTTTTGCGTTGACATTTGAGATGAAAGAAAATAGATTCTGCGCATTTTTCACATTTTTTATGAAAAAAACAAATATGTCATACGCGTAAAGATGTAAAAGTTATGTAAAAAGAAGTGCATAATTCAGACAGTAAAAGAAACTATATGTATGACTCGTTTGGATGTACTTTTAAAATAATTGAAAACACTTTTAAAGAAAATGTTTTTGAATTTCAAAAGCACTTTAAGTGATTTTTCAGGATTTACTTGCATTTTACTAAGGATTGATTTAAAAACATTTTCACCAAAAAAACGTTTTCAGTCATTTTAAAAGCACATCCAAACGAGCTCTTAGATGCTGAAAATTTAGCAACAACTTCTATTTTTATCTATTCAGATTTGTATAGTGTCTAAATAATTAAAATTGCAAATACAAACGAGAAATGTGAAAGCAGGAGTGGTGCTGAAAATTCTGCAGCCAATTATCGTTCGGGCTAGGAATTGAGATAGAACTTACTTCAGCCATACGCGGTTCTCTCCACCTCCTCTTTTTCCCTCTTGTATTTATTTCCTTCCCTTGGCTCTTCTTCAACCGCAGGGGATTAGACATAAGATAATTTGAAGAATGAAAAAAAAAAGAGCAAAAGGATGTTGGAAACTTTCTCTTATACTTTTGTAAATTCTTCCATTTTCTCCGTAATGCATTCGTTTTGTAATGTTTTCTCGTCTTGAAAAGAAACTTTTTGAGCTGTGAAAATGAAGAGAACAACTAGGGCACGGTTTGATCCGAATACTCGTGAAGAGGACAACAATCTGCAGGAAGATCAACTACTTGAGAATGGTGCAACTTCAAGCTCCGTTGAGCTCCAAATTCACCAGCAAAGCCTGACGCCGAAAATTGCGAGTATTCTTGACAACAATGTGTACGAGGTGCCTATAAAGGTAGCATACTGTCGCCTAACAGTACTGCTCATAACCATATATGTGATTGTATATATTAAGTCTGGCTATAGAACAAACGTTCAAAATATGTATAGATAACAATATTTTGGTTGTGTATACCTTCGTAAATTAATCATTTTATTAATGGATTAATTATACTAATTTCTTCGGCTATCTAGGCTATTCCAGAATCAGCGGAGTGGATATTTTTAGTCGTTGCCCTCGGCCTAGAGATGTCATCAGCTGCTTTCGGCCAGGCTTCGTCCCCAAGTGAACCCCACTACGCGCTACTGAGCATGCTGTGTGCTGTTGCAGCTCTTCTTACTACCGTCTGGGAGCTCACTTACAAGGCTATAAAAGAAAGAGTCGTATTAAGGAGGTCGGGATTGCTAATGCTGCCCTACTTTTATTATCCGCCTCCTCGGAACACAGTTTTCGGTGATCTCTATGACATTTATGGATTTGTTGGCGGGATCTCTCAGTGCGCTTGCTCTGCAGTTCAGTACGTTTACTTTCTCCGGCACGCTGATAATCCAATCAAATCATCCCTTCTGCCAGCCATCTTCCTTATGTGTTTGGGTGCTTCGAGACTAAATAGGTACCGGAGGTTCAGTAGTAATGTCGATAGAAACAATATTTTGCTGACGAGGGAGCTGACTGCCAACCGACCCTTGCTCGATGATTCTTGTACTTCTGCTTGGAGTCTCAGTGTCCAAACCGAACGAGAACCATCGAGCAGCGTATAATTATTATTCGGTAAAAACCCCTCATCCACAGTTTTCACTGCGAGCAAGCTTGCGGATGAAGAGAAAAATCCACTTCAAATCCTAGTTGTGGATGACCAAATGGTTCCAATTACAAATCTACCTTATCCAATCAAAGTGGAAATTGTTGTTCTTGATGGTGACTTTCCAACCGGAGAGGATGACAACTGGACAGAAGAAGAATTTGAGAACAACATCTTGAGAAAGCTTACTGGCCGAAGGCGACACTTGCTTGCCGGAGAAGTAAGGCTCACGGTGAGAGATGGGTCTGCTACAATTGGGGATGTTGAGTTCACGGAGAGTTCGAGCTGGATTAGGAGCAAAAAATTTAGGCTGGGTGCACGAGTGATCCCAAGCCCAGGCTATCAGTGTTTAAGGATCCATGCAGCGGTCACGGAAGCTTTCGTTGTTAAAGATCATCGTGGCAAGCAACATCTTCCTCGCTACTTATCCCATACGAGAAACAATTCTGTATAAGATGCAAGGCAACATTTTGCACTTTGTGCTACAATTCATTCAATTTTCAATAGAAAGCAAGGAACATTTTCAATTAGCTCTTCTTTTTTCTTTTTCTTCTAAATCAAGAAAACAATCTACAATGTTACCGTGTCTACGAATTTGCTAAAGAACGTTAAATCCCATTTCAAAACTTCACAAAATAAATTACAACATGTATAATGATTAATTTCACTACTATTACCATCAGAAGAAAAAAAAACAATATCAATGTTGATTAGTCCTGATAAAACCCTTTTTTTGGGGTATGCAGGTGTTCTAATCTTTGAACAAAACTTGTCAAAAGACGAAAAGACAGCAGACACGGGGTCCTCTTTCTCAAGCATTGTAGTGAAAATTCCGAGAAGCCCACCTCAATTACGTAATTGAGTTAGTACCACATAAACACCTTTGGACGTGATAATTAATGTGCATGCTATGAATATATTATTACGAATGATTATGCCTAATCACCTAATCCTAACACTACCCATCTACTTCATCATCTTCAACTTGTTGATTATCGTCCCCTCTCCTATACGGGATGACAATTTCCGATACGCAGAGTGCCGCAGCTACTACGACTAATGTAGGCACCCTTTTAATAAAGGGGTGCTGACATTGCCCTTTCAGTTGTTTACGTATATCACATTCCTCTTGCATTCACTGGAAATTTCCTAGGCAGAAACGTACAGAAGTCCAGTCAATGTACTATATAAGCCGTCGTCGCATCCATCTCTCACGAAAACGCCACCCACTTCTCCCTTCCGATGGCAAACAGATTATATCATAATAATATTCCACCCCTTTGAATTTCAACTGTTGTATCAGACATTTCCAGTTTCAAAACATAAAAATTTCGTCTTCTGAAATATCAAACTATATTAATCTCCATGTCCCATTGAGCTTCAACAAGTTACTATGCCTACCCACTTTCTCCTAAAACTACCCGTCTCCTTCCTCATCATCTTCCATAATTTGGTCACGGTAATATTACTTTCCACAGCCGCTCTCGGCGAGGATGATCGCCAATACGCAGAGTGCCGTGGCTACTACGACTGCGGCCTCCTCAAAAACATCTCCTACCCCATCTGGGCTGCCAACGGGCGACCCCAACACTGCGGCCTCGAAGACTATGAGCTCACCTGCCGACAAGATCAATTCCCTGTCATGAAAACTAAAGACCAAGATTTTCTTGTGTTGAAATTTAGTCGACAGTTTTACACCATGACAATCGCTCGCTCAGATCTCTGGGACACCCCCTGCACTGACAACATCGTCAACACCACTTTGGACTACTACCGGTTTTCCTACGTCCCAACCGTTCGGAACCTGACGCTGCTCTACGGCTGCCAGCCGGGGAACATGTCCGTACGCAATAACTTCACTTGCAAGGTAAAGGGTACGGACGACGACGATATTTCATGTCGACGACTCTTCGATGATTCGTATGGGAAATTGGACCTCATGTTATCTGAATTTTCGAGTTCCGATTATGTGGGAGGGTGTGGATGTTATGCCTGACACACCGGATAAGCTCAAACAGGTTTTGAAACAGGGGTTTCAGGTGGAGTACGAGGCGGAGTGGGAGCTCTGTCAGCGATGTGAATTATCCAATGGAACCTGTGGGTCGAAATCGAAATCGAATTCTAATTCGTTTGTCTGTTATTGCGGCGATGGACCTCGTGATCAAATATGTTCGAGTTCTGGTGGTATGTATATCAATTTCTTCTTAATTTCTCCATTAATTTCTTCAGATCAGTTTTCTTCGTTTAATATAAGATTAGGGATGGTAATTAAGGTTAAGTCTGATTCAAAGTAGGGTTTTGGTATGGAGTTTCCATTCATAGTTACACATTTGAGTTAAGTCAAGTTGTTAGAGTAGTGTGCTTCATCATCCACACTAAAGTTCGAATCCCTTTTTCCATAATTTAGATAAATTTTTATATAACCATTACCAACAACATGCACATTTCTTTACAATCAAGTTTAAACTGCTTCCCTGTAATTTAAAAGTTAAACTATCGTCTTAGTTGGTGTTGTAAAGTAGTTGTAACTATGTTCTAGTGCACACATTGTGATGGAATGTGCAATTAGGTATAACCCTTGAGCTTAATTACCGAAAACTTGGTTCATTAAGGCTTCTTATTTCATCTTAATGCCAATGAGATAAACCCTCCAAAGTGGACACAGACACCAGAAGTGATGCTCCTTTGACTGGTCATCGTCATCTCAAACTTGTGGACAAACCAGTAGGTTTGCTACGGAATTGGATCCGCTTCGGACCTTAAAATCCGGAGCCTAATGATTAATTCATTTGGGCTGCTGATTGGTATGTAAAAGAAATCAGAACTTTTGGTTTATATGTGATGGGCCAGGAAAATGCGTTAATAAAGACCATTGGATTCAATTTGTACGGCCCATATTAGTTGATCATTAGGCTCCGGACACTAAGGTTTAGAGCGGATACAATTCTGTTTGCTAATTGTGGGTGAAAACACATGCCACGTAGGCATTGACCAAGTCAAAGGTCCACGAGGTTAGCAAGGAATTCTGTAAGATTTTAAATAGTTCACACTTCATACCAACCTGTAATCTTTGTCACAGTTGATCTTGCGAGTCATAAGTCCACATACAATTTCTCCACCTTCCGATTGAGATTAGGTGTAGTGGAAAAATAAAATATTGCCATAAAGTGTTTTGTTTGGTTTTGAGCTTTCCAGCATTGCCTACCAAAATACCACAAAACTTCAGAAAATAAAGTCTTATTTTGTATGATATATTCTCTTGTCTGGTCCTCCTTGGCTAACTTCCTACCAAATAGCTGTAAATCCTTTCTGGCCGGTGCTATGCCTTTGGAATGAAATAATCATCTCGTTTAATTGTGAGAAAACGTTTTTGACTCTTCCAGCAGCACTTTCAAACATATCCAAAGTTTATTTTAAAAGCTTTCCTTTGGGGTCCATTTTGAAGAAAAAAATGTCATTGCTGTTGCTTAAACCATTGGTTTGTTTACTCATATTTGTCCTCCTTTTCCACCTCCAATCATATTAAAAACATACAAACCTTATACCCACTACCAAGAATTTTCTTTTCCGCCATTCCAGACTCCCATTAATTCCATCACTTGCTTTCCTTCTCTGTTTTTCTCTCCGTTTCTTGATCATGAATCTCCTCCGTATTATTGTTGTCACCATCATATTCACAACCTTCCCCAACCGAGCTTTCTCCGCAGACCAAAGATTCGAGGCCTGCGAGCCTCAAACGTGCGGAAATGGTCCGAACATAAGCTACCCTTTTTGGCTTTCTGGCAAGCAAGAGTCCTGCGGTTACCCGAGCTTCAAGATCACCTGCAATGAAAAATATCCGGTATTTAGTATTTCCGACGATGATTACATCATTAGAGAAATCTTTTACTCAAACCATTCGTTTGTTCTGGCCAACGCGGCAGTCTATGAAGACAAATGTCCACTTCCTCAACACAACTTCAGCCTCGATCAAACGCCTTTCAACTATAGTTCCAATCACGGCAATTTTGCCTTCTTCTATGATTGCCCTGAAGACCCTCCGGAATACATGCTTTCATATCCCATTGACTGTGCCAGCAACGGCAGCCATCACTCTTTTGCTACTTTTCACAAGGAGCTAGTTGAGCGCATGAGCTATTCGTTAGACTCGTGCCAGTCTTCAGTTCATTTGCCTTTCGATGGTGATGCTAATGTCGATGCATTGAAGCAAATGAACTACACCGAAATCTTGAAAATGGGGTTCATTTTGAACTGGACTGCACAGAACTGCAGCAAGTGCAAGAGGAGTGGCGGGCGCTGTGGATTCGATGACAATGAATTCGTTTGTTTTTGTAGTGATCGACCTCATGTCAAAACCTGTGATGATGGTACTTCTGTAGTAAAGCTTTCCCTTTTATTAGTGATTGAATTTTTCAGAAAAACTGCCCACAGTAAAGATTTCTTCTGCAGTATTTGTGCTTGTAGTTGTAGATAGCCGTGCTAGTTCGCGTTGATTAGCATAGAGCAGAGAGAATACGCGAGTTTGAGGCTTAAGTTTGTATCACAACTTTTATTCTAAGAATTCTACTTTTTTTTTTTTAATTTCTTTTGCAGATAATAATTCTTGGGACTGGAAGAGGAAGGTTATTGTAGGTAATATATCAGCAACCCCTTTAAATGAATAAATCAACAGAGTGCGAAAATCACTTCCAACTGTTATTACTGCGGCTATATTACTGTGTACTATTTTCTTTCATACAAATGCTGCAAGAGAAAGCAATATACTCCATCACCCTATTTTCCTATTTCTATTCATAATAAAAAGCTGAGCGCAGTGACGTTTTAGGATTCATACAACCAACCATACTTAGTGGGATAAGGTTTGGTTGTTGTTGTTGCATTTTATTAACCATTAATCATCTTGTGGCCTGCTGCAGGTGCTCTTTCTGCAGGAAGTGGGCTCATGATCTGTGTTATTGTCTGCTGTGTTAAAGCTAGGAAGCAAATTTTCAAGAGAAGCAACAATCAAGATCTCGAGGCTTTCATAAGGACTAATGGACCTCTAGCAGTAAAAAGATATAAATTTTCAGAAATCCGAAAAATGACCCAGTCATTTAAAGATAAACTAGGTCGAGGAGGTTATGGCGATGTGTACAAAGGCAATCTGCTGGATGGTAGTCCTGTCGCTGTGAAGGTTCTCAAAGCATCCAAAGGGAGTGGAGAGGACTTCATAAACGAGGTTGCAAGCATTAGTAGAACTTCCCACGTCAATGTTGTCACTTTGCTAGGGTATTGCTTTGAAGGTCAGAAAAAAGCTCTCGTATATGAGTTCATGCCCAATGGATCACTCGAAAAGTACACTTACAATGAAAATGCTTTGCAAACGAGTAATCCACAATTGGAAGTGGAACAACTACTCGATATTGTTACTGGGATAGCTCGAGGACTCGAGTACTTGCACCGCGGATGCAACACGCGAATTTTACATTTTGACATAAAACCGCATAATATTCTTTTGGATGAAAACTTTTGCCCCAAGATTTCTGATTTTGGGCTTTCGAAATTATGCCTCAACAAGGAGAGTATTATGTCGATGTTGGATGTAAGAGGGACGATTGGGTATATTGCTCCGGAAGTGTTTTGTAGAAACTTTGGAGGAGTTTCAGTTAAGGCTGATGTCTACAGCTATGGAATGATGGTTCTGGAGATGGTTGGAGGAAGAAAGAACATCAATGCTCGAGCTAGCCACACGAGTGATGCTTGTTTTCCGGATTGGGTTTATAAGCAGCTTGAGATGGGCAGCAGTTTAGGGTTGCCCAATGGTGTGACAGAAGAGGAAAACGAACTCGCAAGGAAGATGATTTTGGTAGGGTTGTGGTGCATACAGACGAAGCCATCAGATAGGCCATCTATGAGTAGAGTGATTGAAATGCTGCAAGGAAGTATTGAAGCCTTGCAAATACCACCAAAGCCTGTCCTAACTTTTCCTGTAAGAACACCACCAGAATCTTCCACGTTATCACATATATGTTCTTTTCTGGATTAATTGGTGTACATCCTATCGATAATTCAGTTCATTAGAGCTATTGGATAAATTTTAACTCGTAATAACTAGCAAGAGAAATGATTTCCGCATGAATTTTTACTCCTGTGTTGTCCAAGTAAGTTTTCCTTAGTAAAGCATGAGTTCCACAATTTCAAATTTGCCTAATACAGAAAACCTGTGCCTACTAAAACACCAAAACACATAAGAAAACAAGTCACTATGATTTTCAATTATTGAGTTTACAATTTCGAATTCCCTTATCCCCGGTAATCATAATTACATGAGTTGCATAACCAATGGTCCGAGCCATTGATCAGAGCATTTCTCTTCTTCTTCTTCGCGATCTTCATCGAGCCTCCCGTGTCTTTCTTGATCTTGTTCTTCTTTACCATCGCCTTCTGCTGCTTGCATTCCGAATGCTCTGAATCAGTATCATCATCATTCTCGTCACACGTGCCTTGGAAATCTCTTTTCAAAGAATTACTCTGCATCATTTGCTCTTCGTCGATCAGAAACCGACTCGCCGCAACCAAATAATCATACTTCTCCGTGCGTATATCGTAATTACTTTTCGTGCCCTCAAAGTATTTGCGATCACTTGACTCCTCCATCTTGCGCCTTCTTCTTTGTGTTCTTGCACTCGAGAGAGAGATTGTAGAAGAATTCAACAGTGCCGTTGCAAATGGCAAACAACTGAGGGAGTAGGTGATATTTTATAGGGCAGGTTTCCTTGTGTGGTTAGGAAATATTGGACTTCAAGTAAATGCATATAATCCTTTTAATACTAGGAAACATTTTCGTTACCTTAAAAAATAGGAAACGTTTTTATTTGTTTAAAAGGCCAAAACTTGGACAAAATCCATATCTAATTAGGAAACAATCTCAGAAAGGTGAATCACTTCCTACCTAATCTGCATACGAGAAGGCAGTGAGATGCAAATCACCTTTCTTGACCATGGCTGATAGTGCTTCTCAAATGGCACACTTGAAATGATATGTTGAGAACATGAACCTCACATATAAAAAAAAAGATCTTGTATGTGTTTATAAGTAATTGAACTATTCTCCATATTGCCAATTAGTTTTATGACGGAATTTCAACTTTCTTCATGTCCAATAGTCTAAGTAAGATATTGCCACTTAGTACTACAATCTGGTGATATTCCTCTCCACTTGGAAGTGAGAGGTCTTAGGTTCAAATCTCGTGGATAGCGAATTCGATACCAAATTAGGCTGCCCATTGTGTGGCTTTGCCGAACTCTTCCTCCCTTAATGTAAAAATATCGATGTACTAAAAAAAATGGTCTTAAGTAAGATATTCAGCCCACTGCTTGATAGTATCAAGTGTAGCATCTCCGACTCCTCGTCAGATGGTGATCTAACGTCTCAAGGCCCTTGATTAAGGAACCGGATCCCCTCCGGATCCATCAAATCTGAGCCCACTAATTAATAAATTTGGGTCATTGAAATTTGATCCAACGGCTACAATTATTATAATTTTTGGGAAAACCCCTGTTTGTTGCTATTAGATCAAATTTTAACAGTCCGGATTCATTGAATAGTGATCTCAGTTTTAAAGGTCCGGAGGGATCCGGTTCCTTTGATTAGCTATCTAATAGGAGTTCACGAAGGGTTGACTAGTCTATCCGCATTTACTTTACTTTGTTCTGCATGTAAATAGTAAATACTAAAAACCCATGCATGTATTTCCAAAAAACTAATGATATCATGAAAAGGTATTGTGAGTCATTAGATTGTGCAAATGTAGCCCACTCATCGGCTAATAAGAAGTGTCTGTAGATTTTGTTCGTTTTCCTTCTTGATCTCACCTCCTCTCTCCAACCAAAAACAGAGGAAAGAAAGAATACTAAAAACGAATAGGAAATGATGTAGGCCTACCAGTTTTCTTTTGAACGCTCATGTTTATTTTTGTTTGGAGAAAATTGAGGTTTTACTATAAGTAGCACTACTTATAAGTGCGTTCAAAATTTATTATTTTTTAAACGTAAGATTCATATTTTTAATCCTTACGTGGGATGAATTTTTAAATCTAAAACGTAGTAGATACAAATTAGATAACGTGAAGCCATTGGACTTAATATATGAAACAATCTGCTCTCTGGTATCACGAAGAAAATTAAAATTCTACCATAAACTCAATTTGCAATATGAGGAGTGCTCTACTTATAAGCACATACAAAATTCTTTTTTTTTCCCAATATAAAACTCATACCATCAACAATGTTCTTTGACTTTCATCTATTTTATTATATTTAAAGGTCCTAAATGTAAAGACGTGCTTGAAATTATTTTCCAAAATGAACAACTCACTAGTATCCACATAATTAAAATTATGATTTGGGGTTCTATTCCTTTCCTCCTAACAACTAATAATTTAAGCAACTAACTCTATCGTTTGTCCCTTTGTCCTGTTGAGTTGAGCCATGGACCATTACTTCCCACTGTTGTAGTCACTTTTGGGCTGCTCCTTATGTAGTCCTGTTGTGTTTTGGGCTATCTTTTAGCTTCATCGCTCAAAAAGTAATAATAAGTGAAAAAAAAAATAGAATTTTACCTTTTAGTAAATTAGAAATAAAATAAACTGAATTTTCTCTAATGAACATCAAAAGTAAAAGTAAAGTTACACATATGAATAAAAGCTATTAGATTCCAATGAAGTTAAATAATTTAACGTTTTTGTTCTGATGTGTAACTTAAATGTGTACTAAAAAATTTGTGAACGATAACTTTTTAATATAAAAATATTTTAAGAACTATTAGAAAAGAAAACCCTCGTTATTTTTACTTATCATATTATAATTGATTCTTCTTGTGAAACTTGTTTAGTGTCATTTTCTCATTACAAAAATTAATGTGAACTCTATTGAAGTTTTACATAGCTCCCACTTCTAAAAAGTTACAGACATCATAGAATCAGGTGAGAGCGCTAGAGTTAACTCATTGCCGACCACCGAGTGCGTTAAACTTGAAAAAAAAATTAAAAAAAAATAAAAAAAAAAATAGAAAACTAGCTAACTCACCAGAGAGCTTCTAGAATCAAACAACATCACTACATGAAAAGTCTTCACTGAAAAACTTTAAGGAGTAGAAATACTTATCTTCACCACAAAATTTTTTGTGTAATACGAAAGTTAAAGTAATACTAGGAAGATCAAATTTTTAAGTTAAATTTTATAAATTAGATGACGTTGATGATTGGGTTATGTTTAATTAAGGTACTTATTTTTTATTAATGATATTTTATTTAGTTTGTTAATTCATTTTAAAAATTTAGTCTCATAACAATTTTCTTAAAGTCATAGAAAATGATATTTGAGGAGGCAACATGTCTCTTGTCGTCTTGTGGATAGCCAATTATTTAATCAAAAGATTAAAGAATCCAATGTTCGATGGCTAGCTAGATTATTTATATAGGAGTTTAACGAAAAGTTCGTGGTACCATTCATTTTAATGAAAAATTATATTTTTAGATTAAAAAATTAATTTTGATACTATTCATTTTAATATTTATTTTGTCTTTATCGTTAAAACTCAAAGTTTTCAAATCATAATCATTAGTTTTCCTTTATTCATATTTAATTTGTAACAATAATTTTTTGTTTGTTTGTGTCGAATGGACCCCTGAAATTAACAAGGGAGACCAAGACTTTTCGTTTTGCATTGATATTTTATTGTATTTTTTAAGAATAACGATTGATGGCAAGTCACGGTTATCTATTTTTTTCAAGAGTCAGAAAGACTCAAACCTCTAGCCACAAGTCTGGATTCCATACTAACAATAAGTTTTGAACCGAAAACCTCTAATTTTTATTTTAAAGAAAACTTTATGATCCACCATTTACTATTGGGCCACTAGTTCGTAATTTTTTGCGTTGATATTTGAGATGAAAGAACATAGATTCTGCGCATTTTTCACATTTTTTATGAAAAAAAAAGGGGCTTTTAGATCCAGGTCCAAAAATGTAGAGTGTTTTTAGGAGTGAGTCCAGTTATCTAATTATATGTTTTTATTTCTTTTATATTCATTTTATATTTTCTAAAAATATTAAAAATCAATTAAAATCTTCTAATATTATGCATTTTCCAACTCCAAAAGAATATATTTAATATCTTATAACAAAAAAACTAATATACTAACATAAATTTATCTACAAAACATTCTACCCTAACTCAAGTAACAAATATATGAATGTATATAATACCTATACGTGAGATATGAAACCTAATTAAAATGTAGAAAAAACATAACATACCTACAAGTAAGACACATTAATCTGTGACAGGTTGATTATAAAAAAAGAATCTGTCATATAGGTAGATAAATATAATTAACCTGTTATATAGGTTGATTATAAAAATTAAAAATAAAATCTATAAATGGGGTTTAAAGTAGGAGGAAGAATGAGAAATAACAAAAAGATAAATAAAAAGAAATAAGCAAAGAGATAATTGGGAAGAAATTTGTTTTTTATAATAAATCTTATCATTGAACAGATAACTATTGATAATTAAATAATTAAATATAACAAATTGGACTTATTTTAATAAACTGGACTATTCCTACTATTGGCTCAAAAAATTGGACTTATATCAAGTTTCTCCAAAAAAAAAATATGTCATACGCGTAAAGATGTAAAAGTTATGTAAAAAGAAGTGCATAATTCAGACGGTAAAAGAAACTATACGTATGACTTGTTTAGATGTACTTTTAAAATAATTGAAAACGCTTTTAAAAAAAATGTTTTTGAATTTCAAAAGTACTTTAAGTGCTTTCTGCAAGAAGCACTAATTATGTGCTTCTTCCAGGAAGCACTTTAAGTGATTTTTCAGGATTTACTTGCATTTTACTAAGGATTGATTTAAAAACATTTTCACCAAAATAACGTTTTCAGTCATTTTAAAAGCACATCCAAACGAGCTCTTAGATGCTGAAAATTTAGCAACAACTTCTATTTTTATCTAATCAGATTTGTATAGTGTCTAAATAATTAAAATTGCAAATACAAACGAGACATGTGAAAGCAGGAGTGGTGCTGAAAATTCTGCAGCCAATTATTGTTCGGCTAGGAATTGAGATA